TATTGCTGGTAATAATGTATTGCTGGTAACAATTTTTTTACAAAAATTTTTGCTGGTATTAAAACCTATTTTTACACGTTTTGATCACGGTTTAGAAATTCACTATTTGCCGATACCTGGGACCCTAACAGGTGCTACCACCTCGGATCAGGGTGGACCTGGGAATACCAGCAATTAACAGGTGGTTCCACGCTCCTCAAAACCTTCTGATCAGAGTCGTTGCTGCCGGATGTACTTTATCCTCATACCCAGGATGGAAAATGTCTAATGATAGTTGCCTGATTTTAAGCAAGTTTTGCTCATATTACGCGTTTCTAACCCAGACATCTGTATTGATATATGCTTAAGATCGAAACTTCTGCAGAAGAAATGTCCTCGTTGCTGATTTCCTCGAACTGCTTCACATGAAGATGCCTTCCTAAAATAGACATCATCAATACGAGCCAGTGATTGGTCTATGACGAGAGTAAACAGGAGAAATTCTTTTTCTGTTTACTGTCTAGTCAAGAAAAGTAGTGCAAAGTTTTTATTTTTGCCTTTCTCCTTACACAACAACACTATTTAGCGTCAATAATCGTGACAAGCCAGTAACATATCATTTTACTGTGATGGAACAGAACGCAAGGCCAAATAGATGCATGACTTTCTTAAGGGTATGAGTTCGAACTGAACCGAATGTCTCTGTAAGAATTCGCACTTTGTGACAACATATAATAATTCAATTTGGGGTTAAGATTCAGTTAGATAAAGAAAGAGACTTTTATATAAAAAGAACATTTCTAGAATAATCTGCCTAGTGTTGGTCAAATTTTGGAAATTTTATAATTTTTATTAAAATTTTTAAAAAAATGTTTTATGGGATTGAGTTGAACTGTTTTAAAGGGATGTTTCAATTTCCCAAATAAATATTACACCAAACTGGACCTTGATTTTGTAGGTGCAACTATCAATATGCATAAATCATGTAATTTATGCACATTACTTATCATCTCTCAGTTGCGTCTCTGTCCTTGGACAGAGTGCGCTCAGGGGCTTCTCTGTCAAAGGTCAGAGAGGCAACTGAGGAAAATTATACTGAAGAGGTGCCCAGCCCTGGGGAACAGCTGCCCGAGGCCGGGCCCTCCCATTGCACAAGAGGGAGGGATCGGTGCTCGCACCGAGGCCAGCGCACCCGCAATGAGCCGTTTTAAACTTCATGTAGTTGCTTTAATTTTAGAGAAAATTGGCTAAAACTACCCAAATCTATTGTGTATGATAGATTTCACAATGTATAAATACATTTAGGAAGATAATATAACGTTTTAGTCTCTTTATTTATTTTTAATATCGTTTAAATATATATTTCAAGAGTTTTCTATACAGTTAATCGAAAATACCAACTTCCGTTTTGTTAGTGAAAATAACATCTAACGTATTTTTTAGCTGTTTGGGGAGCCGTTTAAATGATAAAGTGTAAGAAAAAGTTAAGTCTGTAGTTAGCAATCAAATATTCAATATTCACATTAAGAGACTGAATAATTTTCACAATTTCGTATTATAAAATAAATTGTAACTGTAAAATGCATTCAAAATATGGCCTGGACTTTGGCATTTGGAACGTAAACAGCGGTTCTCAAGCAAACAAGAATTCGTCACTCGTCTTTTAAGCATAGATATGAAAAGTTTGTTTTATTCTTTTAGAAATGCTACAAATCTGTAGATAGAAATACTATCGTGGAAACACCATAAAAGCATCTAAAATAAACCTATGAACACCGATAATACATTATCATATATGCATCCAACCGCAGTTGTATTTTTATTTTAGTTTTCGTGGCATCATCCGGTGGGTGGGGAAAGTCTCCTGAGAGTCGAGGCCAGAACATAATGCTAAGCTGATAAATCTATCATCCGAACATTTGTATATCCAACGCTTTTACCACAGCCGGTCCGACATGTGCTCTTTCGTGACTAAACATACACCAATGTCTGAATATATCTGGTTACTTTTCTCTTCGCATAGGCATCTGGCCTATATCAGAATAACTCTACCAGTGACAATTTTGCATACACTCTCTCTCTCTCTCTCTCTCTCTCTATATATCTATATATATATATATATATATATATATATATATATATATATATATATATATTTTCTCTCTGGAACAGTAGTTGTTTATCCATTTTTTTAACGTTGAAAGGATGAGATGAACTCGCAGAATAAGATGGGTATCTGGCAAATAAAGTATTTTTGTTGGATTATTTCTCCTGGGAATTGTTTTTTGCAAGATAAGGTTCGCATCATATATTGGTCATTGTTAAAAATATATAACCAACATCTAATAAATACAAACTTTAATTGCGCAACTAATATTATAAAGTACAATTTTTCTGATTTGGAATTCTCTCTAGCTGTGGTCGATAACCAATGTAGGAGAAGGACAATTTTGAATTCAAAAATTAGCAATCTGATTCTGTAAAACAATGGTTACATATGGGGTGGGGAAGATACTATGTAGAACAAAAAACCGATAGATTTCAACTGCTATGGATGATCCAACTGGAACACATTTATCCAGGATGCTATTGATACTAACGAGGTGGGTGATAAAAGTAAATATTCAAATCGGATTTGTTTTGTTTTATTGTTTGTTTGCTTGTTTGTTTATTTTTTTGTTTTGTTTTGTTTTTTTTTTTTGTTTTTTTTTTTGCATGGGTACAAAATCTTATTAATTTCATAAAAACGAACATACTAAAAGAAGAGCGTCCTGGGTATGACGATAAACTACATCCATCCGCGTCCTGGGTAAGACGATAAACTACATCCGTGTCCTGAGTAAGACGATAAACTACGTCCAACAGTAAGGCCTCTGATAATATGTTTTTGAAAAAATAATGTTACCAGCTGTACGTTTTTGAAAAAAAATATTACCAGCTATACGTTTTTGAAAAAAATAATATTACCAGCTATACATTTTTGAGAAAAAATATTAACAGAAACGGATTTTTGACAAAAAACATATTACCAGGAAAAAAATTGTCAGCATTAAATGACCCATTGATGTTGATATACCGTAAAACAAACCAAACCAAACCAAACTAAAAGAAGTATATGTACACCAAAAAAAGGACGGTAAAACTGAAAAATATTACTGTAAAATGGTAATATCCTAACAGAATTAACAAAATACAACAACTATACAAGTTAATTGGCAGAGGACGAAAAACCCACGATAAATTTTATGTGAAAGAAAATATAACACAATCAAGTCAATCAATCACTCCTCCCTAGTAGGATTTAATGTAAAGAGATTCCAACATTTTCGATCGCAATTCTAAATTCGCCTTTCCCAGCACTGAGAATGCGTCTCGGCTATAACATCGGAGAAATTACTGAATTTATTTATCAAATGTTCAGCTATCGTTGAACTTGTTGTATTTACACTTTTATGTAAACTGTCCACTCTGATCTTGTAAATATTGGCTGGTAGGTTTTTGTCGTTTCCTTCTTCCTATTTTCGAACCGTTCTTTCTATCTATCTATCTATCTATCTATCTATCTATCTATATATATATATATATATATATATATATATATATATATATATAATGATAAATTACCGGAGTGGTGGGTAAGGTAGAATATATTTTGAATAAGTTTCAACATTGGTCGGGCAACAAAGACAATATGTGGATTGGCGTAAGGATAAGATTTCATACACAGAAATTTGCTTGATACAAATTCTACTCGCATCCCCAATCCACGGTACACAAAAATAGACGAGACACTTTCACATTTCAAACAATGAAGATAAAGTCCGTAGAAATAATATCTATAATCGTTCAAGTGTTCCAAATATACGAATTTCTACTTCAAACATCGAAAAATTTGAACATACAAACAGTAGTCTTTTAACCTTTTCCATCCAAGCAAAGGCAAAATTGCGACTAGACTACAGGGGGTTAGCGGAAGTAAAAGTGGAAGAGAATGAGAAGTTATATCATTATTTTCTATTCGAGTTACATGTGCTATCCATTTTAGTTGTTGCTGCTGTTGGTAGTCCTCAAGTGATGTGGTTTCTGTTATTTGATACAGTTATTTGTTTGAGATTATGTAGCGCCAGCACACAATGTTCAAAGAAGGATAGTTTTTACCAATACCCCTAGTCTTCACTACTTTCCCCATATATATAAATGTTTTAGAAACAGGAAGAAAAAACGGAAAATAGAATTGTGTGATTTATTAGAAAAATTAATGTCAGTAGTGTTTCTTTGAGAAATGATACTAACTCAGGCCAGTAGCATTATCATTGATTGAAACCACGTAGACAAAATTATTCTGCTTAGTTTTCATTTTCAGCAAAAATTGGACGGCGGCTTCAGTAAGTGGAGTATTATGACGTCTATATGAGTGAGATACAGACTTTCCTGGTGGCAGTTAACAAATACAATAATAAGTGATGCATT